GATAATTTCATTACGAACACGGTGATATAAGGTTGTCTGCGAAAAATCTGTCTTGAATACCGGTTGTCGCGTTTTAAAAAGCGAATTGTTGCTGAAAATGAATATGTGCGACAGAAAGGTCCCAGCGTTGTATCTCAATGAGCACACGTACTTAAAAAAAGTCGAAAACTGATTAATAGCCAAACGTATAAAACGTGTCAAAATAGTTTAAATGTCAGGGAAAATAACATTTGCAACCAAACGTTATATAAATCTTATTAATGTATATAGTTTTCAATATTCTGTTGAAAATTACTAGAAAAATATATTAGAAAATAGTATTACATCTACGTAAAACTTATCAACTAAAATTTCAACGTTAAATATTCAACCAATAACGTTTTTTTAATACCATACAACTTTGAAAGAACGAGTGTTTGCTCATTGGGATACAAAAACTTTATTGTATTAAAATATAAATACAGAGGTATTTTAATGATTTTTTTATTAATAAACATTATTCGGGATCTGATTCATCGAAAGTAAAATTTTGAGCTTCAACTTCGGAAGATTCTTCGTCATCGCTTTCTTTTTCTGTTGTTTCTATAATATCTTCTATTGTTAAAAGTGTTTGATCCTCAAAAAACCGTGTTGGTTTTAAATAATCGTCTAAAAACAAATCGCAGTGTTCAGGCTGGAGTTTTATGCATTCAGGGTCTTTAGCATTAAGCCACATGGAATTGATAAAAATAGTTCGTAAAATTTTTTGTTGAAGTAATATCCAGCATGGTGGTATAGCGTTCGACTCAAATCATTTTATTTTCTTAAAAAACTGTTCACTGTCTTTTTTTTGCAGAGTAATTTTTCAAAAAAATACGATATCTCGCATCATTCACTCTGATGCAATTCTGTATGCCATACATACTAGCAGTAAACTCTTGAACGGTGTCCGAATCACCAAAATTTTCAGTCATATTTTTTATTTGTAATGGCAATTTTTCACTTCGAGGGAATATAAGATTAAGTAAGTGCCTCCCACCTCTTTTTTGCGTACGATCGCAAAACAGACAAGTAATTTTGCTTGATGTCGATGTTTTTGATGTTGACGGCTCCTGAAACAATTTAAATCATGTTTAATATAAGAATCGCCCAAAAAATATTATAGAGCATAAAAAATCAAATGATGGAGATTTTTATTTACACGACTAAAAAATGATACTATGAAAATGTTTATAACTGTTCAAAAAAAATTTATATATAACTTAACTAAATTGTTGAAAATCTGACTTTTAAATTTAAAAAGTTAAAAAAATTTATATATGTTGTCTGAAAATTACTAGAACGATTTTTGAAACAGATTTTTTTTTATGTTAAAATTACCAAAAAATCTAGTTCAAAAGAAATTAAAACTTTGTACAAAATAAATGAAATAAAAAAAGTCTGAGTAATTAATATTTACAAAGAATGAAAGCAATAGTTACATTTACATTAAAGATATCAATAAATAACTAAAAGTACTAAATCAATTCTTACAATGAAATTATTGTTCTCATATGAAAATACTGACAAAAAATACAAGTAAATAAAAATTGCTCAAAAAAAAAATAACAAAATATTTAATTACCTTGTCAACATCCGCAGAAGTCTAAGATGTCATTAACATTATTGTCTTCGCCCCCAGTAACTGTCGTACAGGAAGTGACACTAGAATCTATACATTTTGGGTCTTCATCAGCGGTAGATGTTTTGGCATGCACCTTAAAAGTGAATTTTCGTGATTAAATAAAAAATTTTGATATATAATTATTATTAATGGTGCGTTTCATTTGATCATCGGAGATCTCCGAGCGCTTCAAAAGTGTTTGAATTGACACTCCGAGAGATCCCTAAAGTGTTTGTTTCGCTTTGGAGCGAGAACATAGAGCCAGCTCGATGTTCTCAGAGCAGAAAGATCGAGAAGAGGGAGATATTTGTCTTTGTCTCTACCTATCTCTTTTTTATTAACTTACAAACAAATTTGAATCTCAAAATTAAAGACCAGACAAGAACTCAACAAATTACTTAGCCGCTTTTGTCTTATAGCTAAAATTATTCATCATAAAAAAACACAAAATGTGTGTTTGCGAAATACATATTTTCGGTCCAGATCTAATCACCAGTAATCACAGTCATGGAGTAGAAGAGCGAAGCGGGCATTTGTGGTAAATGCTGCATTTCAGGGCCATTACCCCTTATTATTAAAAGTTTTTCCATTTTCTTTACTTTTTGCTTACTATTTTAACATACAAACCAGAAAAAAGAATTACAAAAAAGCGAGGTTATGTTTTTTACTCTGTTTTATTTGATTTGATTCAATGCTCTATTGTGACGTCATCACTTCTCGGTCTCCTCGTAAATGTTTTATTTAGATGAATGAAAATATCCTCAACAATGATGTTACAAAAAGTTACAGAAATCAGATTTTTGTTTATATTCTCAACAATATTTTTTTAAGGAAATAATGAAATGTTTATGTATATCGAAAATTGACAAAAAATATTTTTTAATAATTTATTTAAAACAAAATGAAAATGTGTCGTTATAAAAATATGGAAGATAATTTAGAATATTCATTTATTATGTACTTACTGTATTTTCAGCATTTAAATTTGTAGAAGATCATCCTGTATGATTGATTTTAATGAGATTTGGACAGTATTGTCAAGTTTGACATAAGTGATATTTGGAATAATATTGTAGAGCTATATTAATAAAGCTTATTCGAGCTAATACTCTTATATTTTATTACAATGGCGCAAGTGAAAACATTATCCGAATCGACTATGAGGAGACCGCAGGTGAAAAAGAAAAAGACCAGAACATAATTTTTGGAAAGAACGAACTAGACAAAATTATGTCGAAATGGCTGTCAATAAAAACTAGACCGGAGAGTGAAAATAACGATGTTTGATGGTTTGGGCGAGAATCCACTGGCCTGGATGAACTGATATGAGTTTGCATTTCTTTCGAATAAATGGAATTCAACAGCTGAGAAGATCTTCCACCTTAGAAGTCAACTAACAGGCGTAGCACTAAGTTGGTATGAAGAGAAGGTTCAGATCACAGCAATGAATGAGTTTCAGTGGGAGGAATGGAAGAACGAGTTCATCGAAACATTCGATGAAAATTACATTGTTAAATGGGAAAAGGCATTGGCAATAAAATATCATTATGGAAATATATTAGAATATTTTTTCGAAAAGCAAAGGTTACTTAAATGGGCAGATGATACCATTTCTGAAAGATCTTTGATAGCTTTAGTTATTTTGGGACTTCCTACAACCGTGCAAAGGCAGCTCAGTGGTAAAGAAATTAATTCGAAGCAGGAGTTACTACAAAATTTTAAATATTTAAAGATTGAGAAATTCTGCAGTGCTCTAGGTTATCAGGAGAACGGGTTGCCAAAGAATACTCAAACACATTTCAAAAAGAATCACACGTGGAAGCCAGTAGAAAAAAGGGACACTAATAGAAGAACAGAAGATGAGGTACAAGGAGCAGGTTTGAAGGACAATTTTTCTAGAAACTACTGCAATAAAATAGTTAACAATGAAGTTGGTGAGAAAGAAATACATTATTTTGAAAATTATTCGAATTTTTCTTTTAATTTTAATATTTCAATAGAAAATAATGAAAATGTTGTACCTGTATTAGTATATGATATAAAACTAAAGGCTTTGTTAGACACTGGTTCAGAACTAGATATACTTAATGAAAAAGTAGTTGATAGGTATAAATTTCCAAAATTTAAGAAAAATGTCAGTATCAGAAGTCTAGCGGGAATAACAAGATGCTCTTATGAGTCAAGAATCCAGATAAATATAAATGGGAACGAAAAAGAAATAAATCCTGTTATTGTTGAAGATATGTTATTTGACATGATAATAGGTCGAAAAACCCTAAATAATTTGGAGATTTTTCATAATAAAGTAAAACATCTTATACCTGAAGAGAGTATAAGAAAATCATTCCCAAATGTTTTTAGATGTAGAAGATATCATCCTGTATGATTGATTTTGATGAGATTTGAACAGTATTGTTAAGTTTGACATAAGTGATATTTGAAATAATTGTAGAGCTATATTAATAAAGCTTATTCGAGCTAATACTCTGATATTTTATTACAAAATTATTAAATTCTTCCCTATATTTTTTATTCAAAGCCGGTGGTATTTCTTATTTTACGAAAAGTCAATTTCAATGAACAGTTTTTAAAAGTTCCAAGGTTAAAATTAATTACACTGTCGTCCAAGTTATACAAAAAAAAAATTTTTAGCCATTGTTCATTACAATATAATGTTAATAAATAACAACGATAAGCAGTAGCACGTTTTTTCAATTTTATTGCGCGTATTCATTCACAGCAATATTTTGCTCTTTAAAAACCGACAACCGGTATTCAAGACAGATTTTTCGCAGACAACCATATATCACCGTGTTCGTAATGAAATTATCTTTATTCTTACATAAGTTTTATTTATTAAACAGACGAGTGCAAATTATTAGTATCGACTTAAGTGTTTATACCTGCCTACCCAATAGTTATGACATGACTGAAAAAAACTAGTCAACCTAACGTTTGTATATTCTATAGTCTTCATACTTTTGATTGGTATGTAATTTGTCTATTTAACAAAAATGTTTAAAAAAAAAACATTTATATATTTTTAATTAATCATATCCTGGACTGAAATTTTCCAGTCAACCTATTCGCAATATATTACTTAACGTATTAAATTTGATATAAAATACTTTTCATCCATTAAACAGGCGGGTGAAGGTCGTTTCCCTACTCGGATCTTAGATTAAATGTATTATGGTTTAAATGTTATTTGTTATTTTTAAGAACAATTTTTGCAAGTTTTCAAAGATAAAAAAAATATATGTTTCACCAGTGCCAATTTTTCAAAAACAAAATGAACTAGTAATAAGAATGTTTTTCCTTTTAAATACATTATCGTAATTGTTAATTATTTTTTCAGCTGCTACTTCATCGAAACCGGGAGATGGAAAAGATGTCAACAACAAAACCGGGAGCTCAGTGATATCTGAACCTCCTCAACTTGGTAAAAAGGACTCGTTCTCGAAAATTGGTTTCGTTTAATCGAACTGGTTATTTATTTATTTTATCACAGATACGATAAATTGTAAGATATGATGTGATATTTGCATTATGAGAAAATTAAGACTTTAGTGTCAGTTTCAATAAAGTATTCTTTGTAAATTTATATTCATTGGAAAATAAATATATTTAGTCCAAAGTCTAATATCATTAAAATTGTTAGTTTGGTGTTGTTAATATAAATGTTAATATAATAAAAAATAAATTATCCTGAAACTACGACCCTTCATGACAAAAAGTTTTTTACTTTCATGGCCAATACTCGATTTTAACTGAGACCTGCATAAAAAACAATAATCTACATACAAAATAAATAATTCAGAAAATTTGACAGGATTAATTATGTATTTATAAACTATAAAATCATTTTCTTTGCTACCATATCATTTACTAGTTTTATAATGTGAAACTAGTAAAATTTGTCATCGTAAAAGTTTAACGTTACTATAAACAACTCGAAATAAAAATGATTCACATCTTCACTATTATCCAGTTCATTACTTTTTACAACCCACACAAAGCCATTCTTGATTAAATCCACACTATAAAATAGCTTTTTCCCTTCTTGAAGGAGCGCATCTCCCCTTTACATGGAAAACCAATAGGGAATGAAAATTAAATGGCAACAACTGGCCTTTCAAAAAAAATAACATTAAAATACTATCGATCTCTGATTCCCCCATGCAATAATCGTGATGAAAGTCATAACTTAGAATGGTACTGTAATATCTTCCGTGTCAAAAGGACGATATACAAGGCGGCACATATTTATTATGGATAAAGCAATATTTCATATTTTTTTTTGTATATAAAATAAATAGTTAAAATATATGAAATAAAGTTATAATTGCTGCCAATTTTACCACAATTCTGCTGTCACCAATCACACTATTCAAAAGAGTTATTCCTCTTCAGACATCAATTAAATTATCGTCTTACTTCTAGTTTTCCATATTTAATAAAATAACGAAAAACCGTTATAGTTTATTTGAAAATGGCAAAGGTCTATATATAGGATTGTTCAAAGCAGAAAAAAAATATTGAAACATTCTTATCTGAATTTTCACTAGATTTTAATACGACTACCTCAAAAAATCTCGAATACAATACATCATAAAATGTAAATGAGCAAACCCTTATAATTCTATACTTCAGTGACGCGGAACAATAAATTCTTAAAACTAAGTGCCCACATTTATTTTTATAAAAATAGTACACTAGATATTAGGTTAGGACATTTCCTTAAAATTTAAAAATAAATATATACACAACCAAATTTATATGATATACTAAAAAAAATTTTGCAAAAAAATCTTTTCTCATAAACACTCATATTTCGTCTTTAGAAATATTAGGTTTGTTCCCGAAGCGAGTTCCTAACACATATTGAGTATGCGCAGTACAAAATAACTGTTCCAGCAGAGCAAAGTTCCAAACAAATTGAACTTGTTTGGTGTTTCCGCAAAATTAAAAACTTGTTCATAACATGTTTGTAATTAGTTTTAATAGTTCCTAAATAAAATACGAACTTTTACTTTCGCGCATGCGTGCTTATTTAAAATAATTTTTCTTCTTTTTCTCCTTTGTTTTTAATCGAGTTTTTTGTTAGTTTTGTGAGTGCCTATTATCTTTAATTTTAATTAAAATCTTATAAAGCATTGTAACAGCAAAAAATATAATAAGGAGGGTAGTGCAATTTTGTATTGATCATAAAGTATAACCTCAAACTTTTCCCTTTTTAATAAATGAATGACCTGTATTTAGTTAAGACACTCAGCAACATAAATTTTTTTAACGTTCCAGCGCACATTTATTCAGAACTCATTCCAAACATTATTCTGCTCACGCATGCGTATCAGATATTGTTTGTAACAAGTTTCGAACTCGCTTCGGGAACAAACCTATTCCATATAAATTTGTATCTTAGGTACTAGCGTAATATAAACTTATTATAATTAATATAAATATAGAGTTACATGCCTAAATAAATAAGTCGTTTTCTCCCAATAAGAAGTCATCATCATCAGTTTCCTTATTTTTCACAGAAATAATAATTGGTTCTATTGTTTCCTCTAATAAGATATCGTTTCCAGAATTTCTCTTCCTTACTATGACATGTCTTATAGCGTTTTGCCAATTGCCCAGTGAAAGGACCCCGCACTTTTTACATTGATTTTGGGTACTGACAGAATTTGTTCAAATTTTAGTATGTTATTTTTCAGATCATTAACGGCAACTTTCTTATAGACCTCAAGTTTGCAGCTGTACAGTGTGAGCTGTTAGAAGGAGTCAAAAGTATGGAGTGCAGAATTGATATTTTCATATATATCTTAACCACTCTTAAGCAATTCATGTTTTTTTCCATGAAACTTATGGCACGTTTTACACTTGTTTATAGTTTATCAATGCTTACTTGCACTTTGTAAAATAAATTATACAGAGTGTTCAAAAAATTAGGAATATCAGTTACTGAAATAAGGTACATTTTTCAGCTGAAATAAGACATCTGACGATTTTTTGTTTTATATAACACTGGATAATTTTTATAAGTAATACAGGGTGTGACAGAACTACATAAACAACTAATAATTACAAAAAAATACATTTAGCGAAAAACTTGGTATACCTACCTAAAATCTAGAAAGAATCTTGAATCGAAAAAGTTTGCTTGTATTATAATCTTTATAACTAACCAAATCCCATTTTATTTAAAATTTAATTTCAAAATACTACTACTAACCCTAACTTGAATAAATGATTCAGAAGACATATTCTAATTAAAAAGTAATTCCTGATTTTTATATAGAGTACAAATGTGAGTCTACCACTTTTTTCTATTTTTGTAGATTTAGTACATTTAGTTTAGTTAAAATAAAACCATATAATATACAGTTTCCGCAGTAGTAATTTATTTAAAAAATTCCTGTTATAAATACTGATGATATTTATTTCTGGCTGATTCTTATTGATTAGCTATTGTAATGAGAGCCATTTCATAATTCATTCATGATCTAATCCTCCAAGTCCCTCTCTTTGAGGCTCAACTTGTCCGATTATTATACATAATTAAACCCCTTATAACCAAACATATGTGACGAGTATGGCAAAGGCGCTTTCAAGTACATTCCAGACTGAACGTGATAATGTTACTAGTTTTTGCGAGAACAATCTAGAACCTTCACTATAATTTTAAATGTGTATATAAATATTGGTGAAGGAATACGGAGCAGTCAGTCGTATACAAACAGTTGTGAAGATAAAAAGTGAACAATTGAAGACATTCGAAATATATATAAATTAGAATAGTATTGTTTTAAATTAAATAAGTGTTTAAATAAATTATTACCAAATAAACTGTTGTTTAAACAAACGTAGCACTATTTCACACTTCGGTGCCTCCATACTTTTCTCATGCTATGGAAAATTATCTATGGAATATTATCGATGGAATATTATCTAGGCATATGACATAACTTCTTTTATTTCTTTTTTGTGTGCGTGTGCGTGCGCGTGTGCGTGTGCGTGTGCGTGTGCGTGTGCGTGTGCGTGTGCGTGTGCGTGTGCGTGTGCGTGTGCGTGTGCATGTGCGTGTGCGTGTGCGTGTGTGTGTGTGTGTGTGTGTGTGTGTGTGTGTGTGTGTGTGTGTGTGTGTGTGTGTGTGTGTGTGTCGCATAACTCATGAACCGATACACAGAAAAACACCAAATTTTAAACTTAAGCTTTATTCCAGCGTCTAATAAACTGGTTAGATTTTGGGCAGAGTCGGAACATCTAGGGGGGTACTTTATAGGTGGTCATTTTTATATTTTATATAATATATCTGCTATTTACGTTTGGAGAAGAAAATTCTTCAAATAAAAGTTACTTTTTATATAATTATCTATAATTTTTAATTCATACATAATTTCTCTAAAATGAACCGTATTCGAGATATTTGAGAAAATGTATAAATTTCGAATTTTGAAGAAAACTCAAAATCGGATAAAAAAAAGAACATTAAATTTTAAACTTAAGGTTTATTTCGGTCTGACGTAAAATGATTAGATTTTGGACAAAGTCGGAACATCCAGGGGGGTACTTTGTGGGAGGCCGTTTTTATATTTTATGGAATATCTGTTATTTATTTTTGGAGAAGAAAATTGTTTAAGTAAAAGTTACTTCTAATATTATTATCTATAATTTTTGTTTTATGTTAAAATTTCCTGAAATGGTCCGTATTCGAGAAATTTGACAAAATGTGCAAAATTCTGATTTTTATGAAAATTGTTGAACTAAAAGTTGGTTGCGATACGATCTCTATAATTTTTGTTTATACATGATTTTTCTAAAATGGACCGTAATGGAAAAGTGCCAAATTTAAATTTTTCAGTATTTTCGTTTTCAATGAATATCTATAGAAAAATGTTTCGAAGTAGATGTATGTGGACAATGTATATATTTAGTTTATCCTCTAAACATTTATAGAGATGCTGCAATAGGTTGTACAAAATAACCGGAAAAAGCCTATAATAACTAGATAGGAAAGTCATGTGTTGGACACATCAGATTGTTTAACACGTGACAATAAAAAAATACAATAAATCTAAAAATATTTAACTATTATTAAATATATAATTTATTAATATTACAGCAATTAAGTTAGATTCACAATGGTATTTCGGTAACATTATTAAAAGATTAAAAAATGTAATATTTAAAAATCTTAATGTCCATTTTGTACAGCATTAGTGGCATGGAAGACATAAAAAAATCTGTCAGCTCTCTCAGGTATTTTTTTGTTGACTTTTTAATTTTTTTCTATCTCTCTTCGCAGCTGTTGTGTAAGTCTATTTAATTTATTTTTGTTCTGTTCAGTTATCATCTTTTGCCACTCCTTTCGGGCCTTTCTTTTGTTTTGTATTAAATTGCTTATTTCTTTGGGAGGAATTAATACCTATGGTTGTCTTTTGTATTAGTGTTTTATCATTACATGCAGCTTGTTGGAAAATAACAAAAATTGTTTTGTTCCTGTTTCCAAATCTTTCACCGTTAAAAGACAAAATTTTTGACAGGTATTATTAATTAATTTGA